CATGGAGTACTTCCATTTAGAGGCTCTGCAAACACCAGGCGAATATTAACAACTTGATTCAAGTCCATGGGTTATATGTAATTAGGCCAGAGCCAGCAAAAAGACAAACAGTTCTACACCTTCAAATGAATCCTTCAGCTTGCTAACAAAAAGCAATTAAGCCGACTGCCAGTCTACAGGGCTGATTTCACACTCAGGCCTCTTGCTGCATGGCAGTACCACAGCACATCGTTGCTGCAGTGCATTTCCCTTCACTTTCAAACGGGAATCCCTTGGGAGTCCTCCACAACCCTTACAAATTCTAGAGGCTGCACCCAGCGTGGGGAGACAGTCCTGCTCCTCAGAAGAGGCATTGCAGCCACGAGGAGGGAAGTGGGAGCAGTGGAAAGCTGTCTGGAGGTCACAGAGAAACTGGGTAAGTTCAGGAGAGTTAGTGATTTCATTTCATTATTACTGATGGCATGAGTGAGTTTCGAGAGCACAGTGAGAGAGGGGTGGATGAGCACAGCCACACTGCAGATTTGAGAAAAGAAGTGAGCACATTATCCACACCTAGAGCATGGGGCTGTACATCAGGTGTGAGGAGCAGCATGTGAAGGGCTGGCTCAAGCACCAGAGGGCCGTAAAACTGGGGAACAGATGGCAGAGTACTTCATTCAGCTTGCCAGCCAAAGGAGAGGCATTTAACTCGCTCTTTCTAGAGTCCAGTTGTTTTGTTACTCCATAAAAAGCTCCGAGATACTAATCCCAGCTCATACAAGGGCATAATTTCATTTCCTGCTGTAAGAAAGAGTTCAAAAACAAACACATCTCAATTTTGACTAAGAAATTTAAATTAATGGTTCTGAAACAGAGCTTACAAGACAAATACACCCCAATGCTTAACACAGCTTGAATATTAGTGTGGACTTTAGAGCTGGCATTACCTCTCCAGTGGGACAGCCTACCACCCCACATGCTGCCGTGTGCACAGACTGTCCAGCTGTGTATTTTAAACTAAGTTTTGGGATTTGTAGAATTCTTTCTTAGCCAAAACACCAAGAGAAAATTAAATGTACCAAAGTAACACTTCCATTTTCATGCACAGCAGTAGTATTTAAGGACGATTTTTCCCAGACCTGCTCTGGTGTGATGCTATTTCTGAGGCATGAAGTATCTCTGTTCTTTCCTAAAACTTCCAGAAGCTGCAAGGGCTTGCATCTCTCCTAAACATGTCAGTGGGATGCTTAGTGCTGCAGTGCTGTTGTGTACCACTTACTGCTCTAATCTGCTTGGAATCCAGATCACAGCCCTATCATTTTCCTCCAGAATGAATCTTAGTTCCCATTCTTCCATCAAACTTGTCCCCACTGTTCCTGTGGCTGTACAGTCAGAAAGGTTGGTACAGATCCAGTGAGTAATTCTTGTGTGATTTCCCAGAATCTCATGGAGCCATAGGGAATATGCTTTCAAAAAATACATATTACTTATAGATTAAATCCAGGCAAGATGCACCTGCGCCACTCTACATCAGAAAGGCCAAAATACCCCTGTGCCCTGAGATCATAGGAGATGTGCATGCTTGGGTGTCAGCAGCATCCACAATCACATTATTCTGAAAATACTACAAACTAGCAGGAGGATTCTACAACTAAAGAGACAGCAATTTTATGAGAAACAGTCTATCACATAGAATCTCCTCATTACCCACTCTGTTACTGCATGCTACTCATGAGTGATGGAGCCACCTGGCTTTTCCCAGATAAGTCCCATTGTCCTTCCTCTTGTCATCATGACATATTTCTCTTGCATACATCAAATGATGGTATTTCTGTCACATCTGGAAAGGTATTCTGATGAGAGACCCAGCAGTGCATGACATCCACTTGCATTCTGTGCTGCTTGCATAGAAAATTCTGATCCTTACAAATTGAAACAGCCCACAATGCATGGACATCTCATTGTGTGTGGATTTTGTTTACTTTTCTGTGAAATATAATGCCTCCTGTAATCCACTACTGACAATGATTTGGCAAAAGCAAAAAACATCATATATGAAAAAAGTCAGTATTGAAATTCCATTAGGGTATCACCAGAAAAGTATGTTTATTGAAGTCTGAAATAGCTTAGAAAAAAAAATAAAATAAAAAATAAAAAAAAATAAAAAAAAATAAATAAAAAAAGATTGTGGAACAATTCTTCCTCCTGTGAGTCAGGAATCCCTCCAAGCTCTGTAGATGTTTTGCTCTTTGCTTGCCTTGATCTACCTTGCATAGATTCCCAGCAACGTCACATTGGGTGCATACAGCTCTTAACAAACTCTGAAGCCCTACCTCTTGTACTGGGCAGGTATGATGAAGAGCAGGGAAAGAACAGCCCAGATTCTACTTCCTCTAACTTCACAGCAGAAATTCTTGGATAGAATCTTAATGAATATTAAGATGTTATAATTACAAAATAAACAAGAGAGTTAGGCAAAGCAGCTTACGATAACAAAAAGAGAATAGATAGAAAGCTTACCCCTATCCTGTGCTCACTTACAAAACTCCAGCAGAGCAGATCTCCAGAAGAGATCCTTCCCACTGGTAGCCAGCTCTTAAATAGGTCCAGGATGGGTGGCAGCACAGTGAATTGCCTTCACCTGTGCTCCTCTGGCTGGCTCATGGCTCGCCTCAGGTGATCAATCAGAGGTTCAGGCCATGACTCATCAGTTCCCATACATGAGACAGTAGAGAAAAGCAAACCAGAATAAAAGCTGCTGTGAAGTGATTGACAGACTTAGTTCTGGGAGAAAGAATGCTCACACAGCAGCCACTGGCCTATTAACAAGTGGAATTAGAAGATGTGTTCTGTCTGCTCCAGCATATGTAAATGAACATACAACAAGAAAATAAGCTAAGGATCAGGAATGAATCACTGTCATTCCTGATCCTTAGCTTATTTTCTTTCTCTGCAGCCCTACATGGGGTAGAAGTTTTTCTCCTGCTGTATTTTAGGAGACCTTCACCCCACTTCAAGGGTGACATGTCCCTTCTCCTCCTCTCTCCCTGGAATGCCATCTCTCAATGTACATTCAGTGTGATATAAATATCAGGAGGAGGAAACGCCCTGTTCAGCAACCTGCCCAACTGTGATTCAGAGGGGGGTAGACTACAGGAGGTTGAAAAATGACCTACGGTTGCAAAGCTCAGCATTTATTAACAATTCATTTGCTTCAGTGAAGAAATTAATTGATATTTGCCCTTAGAAGCACATGAAGCAAACTTGTCTCCAGGAGAACATTACGAGCACACAGGAACATCAGTTTCAGAAAACAAAGCTTCAGTGCAACATGCCAGCAGGGGCTGGGACTGACAGTCTCTTGTTTTCCCGAAGGTCACTGCTCTCAGTAGCAATTGCAGTATGGCAGGGTAAGTGTCAAAAAAGCAGCATCCTGTAGCATTCCCACCGGCACTACTGTGAGGAGCTGCTTGTTTGCTAGGCTCTGCCTCATGGTTCCAACCTGTTACACCGGTCTCCTAGATATACTTTCAGATGTGCCACTATTGTGATGGATCTAAGTCGTGTGGGGTTGTCTCACTGCATCACTCAAATTATTCTGGGAAAAGAATGATGAGTGGTTTCTATTTCAGTGAATAACAAATTCGTTCATTATTAGGCCAGTCCAAGGTTCAGGCTTTGTGTTGGTGACAAGCCTATCTGATGACAATAAAGCAAGGGGAATGGGAGAAAATGCTGAAGAAACCATCTTTGTTTTCCACCCCTCATTCCAGTCTCCCTGGAATGTGATGAGTAGCAGTGAACAAAGAGAAGGCTCTTTAAGCACTGAAGCGGACTTATAAAGGAGTGATGCCTTTGTGCTAAGCTGCTTTCCTCCTTGTTTGGAAGGTCAAGGGGCCAGTTTTTCTCTCATTTTTTGAATGTGGCAAAGATCAGATGTTCAAAAATATCACCAATTTGTCTGGGTTTGTACTCAGTTTGACCAAATAACCGTGCTCCATCCTGTTCTAGAGTAAATTCAACAGTCATAGAATGCAGAGCAGGCAGTTTCTACTTTAGCTGTCCTTCTGAGTGACCAGCTGAGGACACAAACGATTTTCCTAACACCTGTTTCTGTCACGGTGATACACCTCTTCATCAGCTCACTATCTCTAAGCCTACCCTACGAGGCGTCAGAACTGGAAGCACCCACTTGTTTACCTTAGTGCTGCACACACAACTTTGAGCTTTGCTCCATATTGTTTCTAAGTAGTTCACCTGAAGACTTTTAAAATGCAGAGCCATGTTGCTTTAGTTTTCTATCTGTTGACAGAATGAAGTATAAAAGTACTGATTGGTTTTAGGCACACAGAATGCAATTACAGTAGAGAAACAGTAGAATTCTGAACATTTGACTGAAGATAAAGTTTGAAGTTTGAAAATGGCTCCACGGCCAACTGGCAGCCATGAGCTGCCTCAGTTCAGATCCATCCAGCACTGAGGCTACCCAGGAATCTCACATTACAGGTTTACAGAGTTAGCTGCCAGGAGACTGGTTGTGAGTTCCAGATGGAAATGATCTAATTTCAGTGGGAAGACTACGGAATAAGAAATTGCACGTTGGGTGCCCAATACATATCCCTTCAAATGAGAAAGCAGTGGTAGGAGAGAAGCAACAAATATACCAAAAAAATTATGCAAGTTAGAACCAAATGTGTTAGGAAGTGGTGGGAAGGTTTCCCTTTCTGTGCCCTCTTTGCTCCTAAGTAGTCAGTTGCTAAGGACAGGGTGATTGGTGAAGTTAGTTTACAAGAGAAGACAAGGGCAGAACACAGGTGATAAGCCTCTTCCAGAAAAGAAACATTGTAACAGAGCAAAATGTCCTCCACCAGCATGATTCAGGCTAGTAACAGAAATCCCTATCATTTTTTGTCAAGAAATGGGGGCAGCAGTCCTCAGCACCCCAGAAGAAACACACGGCCAGGCACACAGATTAGGCATATAATAAAAAATGAATGCAAAGAGAGAATCGGATAACTTACAGCGATGAGCTGATAGGAGTTGTTCATCATGGCTATGAGCATGTTCAGCAGCACGACAAGAGAGATGACGTTGTAGGTACCAAACATAGTGGCCCCAACAAACTCTGTGAACTCATGTCTGGCTTTCACATTGGTGACGTAGAGATTCAGCAGTCCAAACACAGACCAGAAGAGAGACTGGAGGGTCTCGAAAAGTCTGGAAAAACAAACAAACAGAATTTTACTTGGCTACTTGGTTCTGGGAAATGGAAATCAATGCCTTTAGGGACCCTGGATTTGTTGAGGATGGGTGTCACCTGGTGTGAGAGGTCTATTGGTAGCATTGGAAGCACTCCATCACTGGGAGCACCGACATCAGGTGGGGAATACACCAATATCAGGAGCTGGCGAGCATCAGTACAGTACAGAGCTCAGCAGTGCCCTTTATTCTGTATGCACTCCAGCCACAGGGACCCACTGGCCAATGACTGCAAGAGTTTTATCACATCAATAAAATTCACCACCTGTTTGAGAACCATATCCATGTGAGATGCAACAGCCTAATTGCCATGAAGAAACCTGAGGTTCTATTCCTACTCTATATACATGCCAAGAACAAACACAGTATATTCCCTTTAATTAAAGTTGGCACAGAGTGCTAGTGTTACTGCTGTTATATATAGATATAACTGTTGAAGCAGTGCATGCATCATTAACATGTCTATAAACTAAATGCTTAGAAAGTCCATGCTTTAGTTCTGCATGACCATAGTAGTTAAATAGTGCTCTATCACAGGGAATCAAAAGGTGAGAGATGCAAGAAATCACATCCACTTGAACCTCTGCACTAGGATAGGCTGATAGCTTGTCATTACTTTGACTGCAAGTGAACCAGGCCAGTGTTCTAACACCCCATTTGACAGCACTGCACGTGGCCAAAAACACTGGTTGTGATGGCTTGTTTGTGAAGTAGCTCCCACCCACCACAGTGCAGTGCCCTCAACATCATGCTGCAACAATTGATCAGTAATGACTCAGATGAAAGAGAGTCATCACATTAATTCAGCTTGAAAGGTTTTCTTCATTTGAAGTCTTCCATCCATAGAGGAACTAGACCTGACCTCCCATGCTTTACAGCTGATGAGATCATCCCAGGTCTCTGTTTGCTTCAGCCAGACAAGTGACCTTTTGCAATCACGTCAAATACATAATCAGCAATCTAAATAATTGCTCTATTTGGGCATCATTTGTTTTGGCTTTCAAAAATGTGGCATTTATATCATCAAAAAATGACATTTATATGCCTGTTTAAGAGTTTCCATTTTGGCCTAGGGTCAGTGGATATTTTTGAATGCTCTTACCAGAAAAATAAATAAAAATAAATTCAGATACGTTACAAACCAAGAATCCATTCTCCTGAATTCTGTGTGCATCTTTTCCATACATAGTGCCATGCTTTACATGGGGATTTAGTTTCTTTATGTTTTGTGAACAGAGGTTTTCACTGGCCAAAATCACAAAGATTCTTTAAAGCAAAAATCCTTTCTCCCAGAAGTCAAGATATTGGGCTTATTAAATAAGCGAGGTAATGGTATAATAAGGATTAAGCAAAGAATGATGAGCAGTTTGCTATTATGAACAGTGGAGTAGTCACTGTCTTTTAACTTATTTTAACTACTGGTGGTAGAAGTACTGATTGGAGTGTAGGCTCAGGAGAAACTGAGGTTCTTGTCATGGTTGAAACTGAAATAAACCTTCTATGTGATTTGTGCATTGCCTTGAATTCACAGTTATAACCACGACTATTATTGCACCAGGTTGCACCCAATATATTTGCATGTAGGCATGTACACAGAGAAAGCAGGTGTAAACAGCACCTGGTTTTTGCAATTTTGAATAGAAATAAGACTTCGTCTTTTGTCCCTGTTTAGTAACAGGTGAGAACCACAATCTCTTTCACTAAGTGTTTCAGGTGAGGCTCATACTACTTCTAAGAAAAGAATTTTGGTAATACAACTGCACTCTCTTGTCGAGTATGTTTTGGACCTTAAGCAAACAGGAGAAATCTCAGAGCTCCAACATGCTCCTGAGCAGCTAAGGAAGAACAGGTGCCCCCATCTCTGCCAGGAACTCTCCCAGCCTCCTGCAGTCACTGCCAGGAAATGATCCCAGCTGTCAGCTTCACCCTTCATGAGAACGACCTCCCAGACAGTCAGGTGTAATGGCTTCTTCCTTCCCTTCCTCCTCTTCCTCTATCCTCTCCTTTCTCCATCTACCAGGATCACAGTGCTAAACATACATTTACATTAAGCAATAGGCACTCCGCTTTCTAAAGGATGGTTAGGGCAGAGCATAAAACTTAAATTATTCATGACTTCACCTCATTGCTATCACAAAGGAATATTACTTCTCCATGATCTGTGTTTGTGATGCCGAACACTTCCACACCTAAAAAACATTAAACTCTTCCTCCGGGAGCAATAGGAAATAATGCAGCAGTAAATAGGTGTCACATTTTAAACAAGCTGTACAAACACGAACAACGCCCTGCTTTTCCTTCCCTTACAAAATTAGATCTTATTGTGTGACTGCCTAGAAATGCTGGTAGGAATCAAAGGGGACTGATTGAAAGCTTTTCACATTTTTTCTTCCATTAGGGATGAACTATGAGCAAACTCGAGGCAACACCATCTCTGATTTGAATTCACTGCAGTCGTGCTTGCTTTCTCCAGCACAACGGTGTAATTTTCTGTTTTGCAGGTTGCTTGTTCTTAGCCATTCACCCATGCTGTGCATCTGCTCAAGGGCCAAATGTCAGCTTGTACTGGGGGTGTTAATAATGACTATTTAAACTTTTAAGAATACGCTAAATAAATTTCTTAAGCGAGGCTCCAACAAAAAAGTAACTGCAGAGCATTCTGTCCCCTGCCAGCAGACCTCAGTCCTAATGGATCCCCTCCCACTGCGATTCTGTTTTAAACAAACCTCTGTCATAAAGGCTGAGCCCCCTCAATTTCCTTCCTGTGCTCTGTTCTCCTTGGCAGGGGGCTTAAAATGAATGGTAGGGTGGGAGAAATTGTGGTTTGTATTGAAGCCGATCCATACTCCTTCTGTTAAGCGGTTCTGTGTCATTTCTAGTTCCAAAGATGTTGTGCCTTCTTACTGACTTACAGATCTTTTTTTTTTTTCTCATTCCTGCTGAACAAATGCTCTTTTTCTTTAGTCAAATCCTCTTGTTGCTTCCTTCACTAATCTGCCAACGCTGAAAACTAGTTTGTAATGGAGACAGGTCCAAACTAGAGTGCAGAACTGGAACACATCTGTTCAGTGTCGCTCTGGGGAAAGGCACACTCCAGTCCTAAATTTCGTGGGTTTGACCCTTCCTGAGGTAGAAGCTGTCACTTAACAAACATGGTGCTTGCCAAGCATTTCTCCCTCTGGCTACTGCATCAATATAGATGTAGATAAGGAAATAGCATCTGTTATTTAACTCCTTTGCAAGGACAGCACAATGCATTTTTGGAGCATTCAAAGCAATTAAGACAGAAAAAAGACTGAAGTCTTTAATTCTGTTTTTCATTAGCACAGTGCAGTTCCATTCACTTCCTCCAGATATAGATGAGTTTAATGAGAAAGTTAATCAAGTCTGTGGTGTTCCTCCTCTGCAGTGGAGAAGAGCAGCACACCTGGCCTACCAGGACACCTCTTGTGAGTTTGGACTTCATCCTTAGAAAGTCTCCCTCTTCTTGTAAGAATGGAGCCTACAGGATAGTACCAGAGCCTTTCCTCTTCCAACCTAGTCATGTGGCCTAAGCTGTCTTTGCTTTTGATAACAATGCAATGTCACAAATCCTTTTTTTAACCTCCAGCCTTCAGCTGAAGAAGATTGGAGAATTACTGGGCATGATGACAAGTTTTATTTAATTTTGCCTGACGTGGTGGACAACAGTTTTGTTTTGCTTGCTTGCAGGTCTTAGGCCCTTTTCTAGATGGTGCTTTATTTATTTCTCTTCCTGTTGTGTGTTAAGTACTGTGCAAGCAGCAAGAACAATTGGAGGGGGGCTGATTATTATAATTATTTCCACTATTAGTAATTAAAACAAATAGATCACAGAGACAATTCATGTTATTTTTCAGCATGTGCTATCACTTTCAGCCCTGCCAGCTGTCATCACAGCAATTTCCATGCCAGCATCTCAGTAATGTACTAGTATTTGCAGCAAAATTGATTTTGATGTGATTTTAGTCTCACCCCGCTGCAAGGGAATCAGAGGAGCCTGCAACATCATGTGTGGATAAAAATGGCCTAGATGAGCTTGTTGTTGTTGTTGCTCTGCCACATTATTTATTAATACAGCTTTTTCCTACGTTCATCTCCTGATTTCTACATTTTGTTTAGCTTTCTCTCCTTTCTCCCAGAATAAGACAAAACAGTTATTGCAGCGAAAGGATACCTGTTCTCTCACATGCCAAAACTGAACGCAGCAGTAATAACATTTCAGTTGCAGGATGATGCAGAGAGACTCTCTGGACCAGAACTAAAATGATTGTCTCTCACTTCCAGACCTAAGAGGCTTTCTGACATCAAAGCTCAGCAGAATGTCTGCCCCAGTTAACTCACACCTTTCCTGCACAGTCAAGCAGCTCACCTGATATTTACAAATGAATAAATAAAGTTGCTTTTGGTGCAGTGATACACAGCATGCAAAGGCAGGTAAGAACAGAGGACAGTCAGAGTTGTCCTCAAAATCAGACAGGAAAGAACATCTTACGTGGAGAAGGCATTGTTCTGTTTCTCACATCGGATCCCCTTGCAGTTGTTGGGTTCCTCCGAGGCACTGGTCTCATAATAAAAATAAAGCTGGTTCAGTCCATTGGCAAAAGCCAGAAGCACCAGACAATAGATAAAAAGGAATTTAAGGATGTCTAGCAGCATGCGTCCCAGAGAAATCTGCAGGGGTCCCAGGTGTGAATTTGCTGTAAACAGGGATATGAGACGCAAAGAACTTAAAATGTTGGATATTGCAAAGAGGGCTTCTGCAATGAGAGTCGGGTGCCACATTTCCCATTCCTCCCTTGGACGTGAACCGTTGTACTGAAAGAAATAACACAGGTATAAAAGTGAATTACGTTGTAATCATTTTGAGGTAAGCTTGAAACTCAAACCTGCTAATACTAATGCTTTACCTATAAACATTGACCAGACAAAGACACAACAAGTACTTTTCAATTCAAAGTATCAGGATCCCACTATCAGTCAGGATTCACGATTGAAGCTCAGTTCATGAGAACAAATCTTTTTAAAGAATTCTTATGAGATCCTCTACAGATTTAGACTGTTCTCTAGAGATATTTTTGGGATATCAGCTTTTCTCTGGGGGTTTCTGGTATGTGGGCTGTACTGAGCTAAAGTTTGATAACAGGTCTTTGGAATTGGATAACTGTGGGTAATTCAGGTCCTTGCACTGATATATAACATCCTTCTCTTACAATATTTAAAGGGGTTCTGACTGCTCCTTAGCAGGTACAGATCATTTCCAATTACCTTTTTTCTCTTTTTCCTCCTGAATACTACCATACCTTTGAAACATTGCTTATTCCAGGATGAATGTGAGAGAGAGACAGAAAGGAGAGAAGAAGGCAAGCAATGAACTAAGGAACATAAGAAGTGAATGCTTTCCCTCTGCCAAAAAAGCGCCAACAGCCCAGAACCAAAACATGTTCTTCATATTAATTTTCTTATTAGTTAATTTGCCGTGGCAATTTTAGGAAAGTTGCTTAGGCAGAGGTCATAATTACAGCCAAAATACTGGATACAATTGAGTGCATCAGTTATAAAATTAACTTGGTTTGTAACGCAGCTGTAAAAGCAGAAGCATTATCTGGGCCAGATGCAGCCAGATGTAAATAGGTAACATGAAAGAGCTGGTTGTAAACACACAACTTCTCTGGCAGTAGAGAATGGAGTTCAAGACATTTTAACATCGAGGAATTATTTATCTTTTTTAACATTTATTTCTGCTGATTTAACACATAAAAAGGCAATAATGTACTTAGGATTGTATTGCTAGTACTGTAGCCAGAATGTTTAGGACTCTAAAAACTTTTAAAATACTTTTTAAAAGGAAATGGTATCAATATATCACTGGCAGATGGGTTTGTAGGGACTTCCCATTTAAATCTGAAGGTGCAATACATGAATTCACATTTTTTTCAAGGAGGCAACTAAAAACAATAGTTTTAAACTGTTCCTCCATATGAGGGCACTGAGACATGATAGAATTTCAATGTGACATGTGATTGCTTCTGAAATTTCCAAACTGTTCATTATTTCATGAACATAACAGCCTGAGCTTGTTAACTTGATTTGAAGATGGGTCTTAAAACATTTACAAACAGGTGGACATTTTAAACTTTTCTGCCAATAATCAACAGTGGGAGTGGATAGATGTGATCAGCAAGCCTCCCCTTCCTGGAGGGAAGATTTGCACAGCTTCCTTCTGCATGCTGACTGAACACATCAGCCCTGGGGCTCTCTGCCAGGATAGGATGCATGTAAAGGACTGTGAAAAGGTCCTCATCTCACATCTATTTTTAAAGCAATTTGCTAGGATTGTATTTTGGCTCCTTGCTTGGAAAACAACAATCACTTTTGAACTGTCAACTGCAGGTAGCAGAGAAACTGATTTCAGAGTTACCTAATGAAAAGGCTAGAGTTGTTCAATTTAGGCTTCAGAAGATGAAAAACAAAGTATACAGAGTAGTTCAAACAAGTTATAACAGACAGGCATATTTATCCTTCCTCATTACATGATAATTCAATGCAGAAAATGAAAACTGATTAAGAAAGTATTTTTACCCTATAATTAGACTGAAGATTTCATTGTTACAGGACAATAGTGAGGCCAGGACTTGAAACCAGTCAAATCAGGGGAAAAAAAGTCTCCACATAAAAATCAGGATGGAAAACATAACCGTCAGTATACAATTTATTTTCCTGATATTTGGCAGAAGGCAGAAACGTCCATGTAATCCTTTGGAGTTCTAAGAAATGTTGGACTATGGTGTATTGGCATATATACCAGCCGATTCCAGCCCTGGGCTGTTCTACAAATAGCAAAAACCTTTACAAGTCTTGTTGCAAAAGACTTTGAAGCCATTATCAATGTTTTAAATCCTCGTGTCTCAGAGCATACTGCAACCTTTACTTGACATAGGTCAGAACTTCTGTGGGCATGCTGTTTCAGAGCTACCACTGTAGAAGGTTTTAAGCGCTTCTCAGTATTGTTTGACATTGGTCCTTATCAAGAGCAGATCTTAGGTTAGCCAGGTTTAATTCAAGTGGCACTGATCTGCACTCAAACGGATATATCCCTGCAATTATTCTGTATTCTTTTTTGTGCTGATGTACAGCTCTTTGTGGTTAGTCTGTGTGTTTCTGTAGTCCTTACAAAGTATATAAATGAAACTGTACTTCCTTTGTATGTCTGGTTTGGCTGTAAGTTTAAATCTCAGTGTGTGACCATGTAAGTTTGTGGATGCAGTGCTCTTTTGGTAATTTGTATGTGAGAGAGAGAGAAATAAAAAGATTGTTAGCATTTTAGGATTTGTTTGTGAATGCTACAATTTTCAACATTTTCTGTATTGCTCACAGATTAAAGACCAGCCTTTCAAGTCTCTAATTTCCTCACTGGTTCTGAATGCCGGGAAAAAAAGATGTGACCTGTTTTTGCTTTGATGCTGTCACAGAGCTGCTTTTTCAGAGAGTAGCAACTGTCTTGAAGTTTTTCCCTTGAAAAACTAACTCACTACCATACATCCTTCCGGATTTTCAACAGGCCCTGAAACAATACAGTTTTAAAGATCCAGCATGTTGCTTTGTCATTTTCTTGCCTACAGATTAAACCTTGAATGTATATTCAAGAGAAGCTGACTACTTTACATCAGATGGAAGCCACCTACAAGCAGGTGTGCTCTCAGCAGACTTTTCACAGACAAGTAATCTACAGATCATGGGTCTCAGTGACTACAGATTGTAAATCTTGGTTGTAGATGTTTTCAGATAACCCTATTCTTCTTGTTCCTTTATTACTTTATTTAAAAATCACGCCTTCATGAAATTTAGCATTGTTGAAAGAGATCCAATGTCAGCATGGAAAACAAAAGGTATCGTGGGCAACTGAGTAGCTACAAAATGCACAGCAAGTGGGGAAACTTCCACCCAGTGCCCAAACAATCTAATTCAATATTAGTCGAGGAGTAGTGATGGGAAGGAAGGTCATTCTCTACGCAAATTAATAAAGCTTTCCAGGTGAATTTTCAAATCTGAACTGTTGCGGTAGCAGCAATTCTTAGATGTCTGTAATTGTGTGCTTGACTTTCTATCCTGTATACCAGGATATTGTGTGCTTTGACTGTTTCTATCCTGTATACCACAGTTCTCACAAACAAATTACAAATTCTCTTTCCCAAGTTACTGTACCTTGACATAGGCAACAATTTTAAGGGAGATAGTTGCAAGATAGAGGGAGTTCATTGCAAAATCCATCAGATTCCACCAGTCATGTACGTATTCATTGAATCCACCGTCCCACATTTCCTTGATTTCTCCCCAGATAAAACCTGTTGAAAGAAAGAGTGTTCACTGTCATGAGAAAGGTATTATTTTCCATTAAAGCATTGTGTATATGTGATGTGGTACAACTATAAATTAACTGTGTAGAAAAAAATGCCTCATTCCTTCTGTCTTCTAGAAAGTAAAACTGTGCTGATTATGAGGCATTTTAGCTTCATTAGGAATGCTATCTAGAGAGATATGAGAAAGACCTCCATTTCCTACGTAGGGCTGCAGATACAAACACAAGGACACTATCTGAAACCTGAAGTTAGCTGTAACTACCTGAAGTTAATTGCAACTAGCATGAGTGGATTGACTCAGATGAAATTTGTTTTATACGATTGAAGTATTTAAATCACTGTATTTGGTATAGTTTTTAGTGTATTGTCTGCTTCCACAGTAATCTGTGGCTCAGATGCACAGTACAGATTTTTTCTGACCTCCTCTGCAGAACATACAACACAAGTGTACCAGCTTCTGCATACCAGTATGTTCCCTCCCTGACCTGGGAACACCACAGCAGAGATGAAAGAAGTGAGTTCATTCACTACACTCAGTCACTGCATTTATGCATCTTGCTGCACAAAAAGCCTAGGGACTATTTGGGGGTGGGGGGGAAAAAAAAAAAACAAAACTAAAAGGTACAGCTCAGCATGAAAAAGGGCACTGCAGCTTGGCATCATATCTCTCAGCAGTGAGTCACATCATGCCAACCACGGCTATGGGTTTTGTGAGGTGAGAATTTGTTCCCAAAGCTATGGCGATAGCCCATCCTCTTTACTCTGAAATGCCTTCTGGTAATAATTGGTAGCATTTGCTAACCTTCACTTTACCTCTCTGCTGCTGCAGGGGTAAAACAGTGAGCTTCCATAGCTCATTATCAGACTGCTACCTGGCATAACAGTTTTATTATAAGTAACTTATGTGCCCTTTATTTAAGACCTATTTAAGTACTTTTAAGAACCTAAGCCCAATTTAAAAGTGAATGGCAGGTAAGCTCCTAGGTCACCATGTTTCTGAGTACATCCTTAGAGCTCTCAAATGTTTTGAAATAGCCACTTTACAATATCCTTGAATGAAGACCTGAAATGCACATGAAAAGAGACAGAACAAAATACACATCAAGCTGTACTACCGCTGCAGTTACTCAAATATCTACCCATGCCCAACCACGAATACTGCAGTGGTCACTGAAATGCCAGTCCCAATTCATTTTTAGGACCTGAAAGTTCAATCTGAAAAGCAGACAATGTTGAAATGAACCGCTGCAAACATCCGAATATCAGTCTCAGCCCTTCAGCTTCCAGTCAGGTCAATGGTCAGACAAGCATAATGTCAAGGCCAATAAGGTAATTTTATTACAGCTGCCTCCAAAATCTTTGCATGCACACAAAAACATAGAATAAATCAATGGAGAAGAGTCTGTTGAAGAACTCATACACTGTATTTATAGTGAGTTATCACTGCTGGTTACTATAGTTACAGCAATGCTGTGTGTGCTTGTTCACTCTCTCTCCTTTTGTAGTGGAAGATATTTCATAAATAATTACCTTTAATCGGGTGAAACTGTTCTAATTTCTCCATGCAATAAGCAATCCCACAATATCCCTATTTATCTGAAACAAAGGAACTCAAAAGTAAGAATAGAAAACTGTAGCAGGCTATTCTGAAAGGCTTTTTTGTATGGATTATCCTTTCATCTGCACATCAATTTTGCTGAAGTGCCCACCATTTCCTTCAATTTAAACCATGAAGTAAAGGATAAAATGAAGAAATCACCTTAGTTCAGAAAAGACATTCAGTTTTCTCAGCTTATTCTGAAGTTTCTACCTGCACATACATTTCAATGCCATAACTTAGTTTAATGAGATAATGAGGTTTGAGTTACCTTTTTTATGTTGCAATGAAGCTACACAAAGAACAAAATGCCCTCGGTCATGATGGAAAGTGATTTGTGAGCATGATTGCAACTCTTTTTCTTTACGCATTTCCCATCAGCAGTTTTAGCTTTGGCGCAGTGAAGTCCACTCAGCACAGAACCCGTTTGCTGCTGAGCCACCACAAGAAAGAGCTGGGTCCTGGCACTAGGCCAGGAGAGGCACCAGCAGGGAGAGCAGAGGTGGACACATAAGAAGCAGTGAGGAGCCACTAGGAGAGCTCTGGAGATGGAGGTTTGCTGAGAGAGATGCCCTTTACTGTGCTGTCTACAACAGCACAAGCATGGTTTTCCAGGCCCTTGACCCCAAGCATAAAACTGCAGCTCACTAATAGCTGGGGGTTGTGAACTGAGCTAGAGTGCACAGAAAGGCTGAAAGAGAGACAGGAGAGCATGAAAACCATTGCCCCAAGTGTGCCTCGTAGTATCACCTCAGCTCTCAGTGGTGCTACATGCTAATGGCAGAGCAAAGGAGATGGGGGCCTAAGGAGAAGAGAGATAATATTCCTAAGAATCCTAGGTTTTCACCTTCTGTTCCCTTTGAGCTCAGTTTGAAAGGATAAATACACCTTACCAAAAATGCACCTAAATTTGCTTCTCTGCTCTTCTCCTCCAGTGGCTTTATTTACTTTTTCCCATCTCACCTTGCTACCTCCTCACCCGTGCATCCTGCCTTTGGGGTCCAGGCACCCCACAGTTCTTGCCCAAGCCAGAACAGGTAACAACCTGAGGCTCAACCTGCTGTATTAGATACCCCTTCTTCTGCCTATACTGGAGTGATTGATACTGATTTGTTCAGCGTATATCAGCACAGAGGCATAAGGCAGAATGAGATTTATCTTCCCTTCTCTGCTATCCTGTGGCCCAGGAACAAGCAGGGCAGGTACCTGTGTGCTGACTACCAGAGCACATCAGCGAGAAGGCAAAAGCCTTTGGCTCTGCCCCCTGCCATGCATCAGCCAGCAGAAGGAAGCCAGCATTCAGGTGGCTTTATCTGATACTACCATGACCCAGTAGCTAATTCTTGCACAGATGATGTGGGAAGCGGGGAAGAGAGCTGTGTCTGTTCAGATTTACTCAGGGTCATCTCTAAAGGCATGTCACATGGCAAAAGGGACAGCAGAAGAGCCCTAGGCCAACAAAATCTGTTGTACCAGAAGGAGCCCAGCTGTTTCATGCAGCTACTGAAGCTGGCTGCCAAATCTCTTTACATGACAATGATGCTGACATTAAGTCTCCATACAGTTGCCATGGGTGCGAGGCAGGAGACTGCAGATCAAGCATTCTTGTGTTCCTGACTTACCTAGAACCCAGGGCAGGATCATCCACTCCACGATGGTGGGAGGTGGTCCCTGCATGTGAAGGTCAGTCCTGACGATATGCTGCGATGCCAGCAGGAGCATGAAGAGGAAGGTTAGGTATGAGCCGGTGTGGCAGATAAACTTTATAAATGGCTTTTTAATGAACAGTCCCAGCCTGCTCTTCGGTGCAATCAGATATGCCACAGATAGCACAGGGAATAGCAGTCCGATGGTGACACAGGTCAAGAGTTTTACTGCCCAGTGTTTCCGCCTCCAGCCTGGAAAACCATCATACCAAAGTGTTGCTAGTAGCTGCTGGCAGTTTGGCTGAGCAACAAACTGAGGAGGAAGAAAAAAGAAAGCTTATTACTGACTCGTACTTCATGTATGCTCTTCCTTATCTTACAAAGATCCTTATACAAAACTTTGGGCTGGATATGGGGTAGAACTCCACTCTTCTTTTGTACACAGGATTTCAGATTTCTTCTAAGAGATCTTTTCTATTTGAATTATCATTCAGTATATCAGGTACTCGCGATATATAAAGCCTCATCCAAAAGTGATACAACTAAAATTACTATGAGCTTTTTCTCTTCTTATGGTTTTCCTTTCAGAACATTTTAGGTTTCGACAGTCTCAAACAAATCACTGTCAGCATCTTTAAAAAGTGACTAAAAGAGAAGTCAGGAGGGAAAAGATGGAAAGCTCCAAGTGTGTGCGTGTGTGCATGTGTTAGAGAGAGGGAGAGAAGATGTCTACAAATTGTGTGGGGTGCTGCACATGATTTTGTGCAAGGACTCCAGCATATGTGTGTGTGGGCTGAGCTGGGCATGAGACAGCATGCAATAATGCAAAGTTCAGCCAGGTGACATCTGCTGAGAAGCAGGACGGCACAATTGTAAATGTGTCTCTTTATTAAGGAAGAGAGCAATTGTAAAATGTAAGAGATTAAACAGAAGCAAAAAGAAACCTTTGATCACAGCAGCAAAAATGACATTTGAAAGTTTACTTTCTCGCTGTAAAATAAAACAGCTTTGTGTTGGTGATACGTTGCATTTCGGTGACTCCATACAAGAAGTGCTCAGGTTGTAACTCCTGACTGTTTTAATATCTAACAACCCTTGGAATTTCAGACTCAAGCCAAAATATTTCTGGCCTATGCCAGAAGACTTATGTTCTTGATTATAACTAGACAGCCCCATGGTTTCCTAAACTTTTCAGACCCACAGCTAATTAGAGATATCTGCAAGATCAAGAAGGTTGCATTTACGTATTGGATTTTTAACCCATATTAATGAAGCTAAGCAATGACACAGGTTGCCTTGAGAGGCTGCAGAATCTCCTTGGAGATCTTCAAAGGCTTCTCAGCATGGGTCTGGGCACCTTGCTCTTGTGGCCCTGCTGGAGCTGGAGCATGGGTGGCACCAGCTGGACCCAGAGGTCACTTCCAGTTTCAGCAATTCAGCCTTTTTAAACTCAGATTTCTGACTGTGCTCTGCAAGTTTAAAAGCCAACTTCTGTTTTCAGGATATCTGTTATTTTTGCTCTAATTACATTTAAAACAAACAAGCAAAAAATAACCAATTGTTTGAGCATGGATACAGCTATCAACAAAAACAATCCTGTCACAGCATCTGTGACAGGACATAGCTGTATCAAAAGAATCACACTTCCAATTGACTGTACTACTAACAGCATTCATCAAGAAGAAACCTCTGAGCAACCTGAAGATGATACTACTGTTTATTACACTTGGCTCATACATATTTAAAAGGGTTCTCTGTGAGGGATGTAGTGCTAACATGCTCTACATCCCCCAGCAGAGAAGCCAGATTTTATCAGCAAAGTACTCTTTCACCCCCATAATTCAAAGCAGCTCTTGGAAGGAAGATCTGTGGTGGCAAAGGGCCTGGATTCTAAATACCAGATTCCTTCTTAGTGTTCAACCCTGGAAGAAGCTCCCATCAGATACCGTTCCCCACAGTGCTGACACAGGCCAGGGCTACAGATACATAGTCGTCCTTAACACATCTTTGATTTGTGCCTAGAATTTGCCATAGCTCTTAGTTACCTGAAGATCACATGTGGTGTAACAGAGACTTCTTAAAGGTAGTTTCAGCACACACCTGTATCTTTTAAAGATTCTCTTGCTGCCAGAAGTGCTTAGCATTATTTAGCATGCACAGGGACTTTCTATATGCAATTCTCAGCACTCTATACCAGCAGAGCACTATCACTGCCATGTTCAAAATGGGAAACCAACGTGAAACAGAAGAAAAAAACAAGATTTGCTCAGTATCAGAGGAAAGACGGCAGCAGAACTCATGGCTGGGGTCCCTCAGGACCTGATCCTGAAGCACAAGTCAGCAACAGAATCCCAAGCTGCTGTTCTGACAGCAAGTAGTATCTGAAGGCACTTCTCTAGAGCTCCCACAGGACCTGAACACAGTCTGGGATCAGCACCAGGAACAATGTACAGAGGGAGGGGAAAAAAACAACCAAATAACTTTTCCTGCATCTCTTGTATTTCTCTACTTTTTCCTAGAACAGATTTTTGGTGTGAACAATGTTGTAGAAAACAAAATAGTATGTGACAGAAGTCAGGCAAAGTCTGACAAAACCATTCATTTCTGCAGGTATTTTTTGATTTTGTGAATGTATCTTAAACGCTGTAACAGGCTGCCTGTATCAGAATCACACTGCTTTTGGCTTTTGGTAGTTCAAAGATATGGACTGACCAAAATTAATACTGAAAACAAAATCTCCAGGAGGCATAAAAGGCATTTCTGAAGTTGGACATTTACATGGTATTACTACAGTAAATGTGGTTGCTGCATCTTACATAGAAGCGACACAACACAAGTGGGCACAAGAAAAGAAAATAAAAGTGCATCTGATTTGGGATTAACTTACACACACAGCAGAAACTGGGCAGTAGCTGATATGGAGACGAACTCCAGAAAAAGCAAAGACCTGTTGCTCATAACTACCTGAAAGTGTGTGATGGTGAAATGCGAGACCTGGGGATGGTGATGAAAGAAACAATTCTACAGAAATGGAAAAGAACATCAAGCGTTGATTCTCACTTGGTTTGTTTTTTAATCTGTTGTTTCAGAAGGGTCAGGACGTTAGGTTTAAAAGCAAGAAGATACGGAAGGCTACACTGCAGTATTTTTCATTTCAGATCACAAACAGGAGCTGTGACCGCTAGTGTTCTGCAGTCATTTGCATGGTAACACATACTGCTGTTTCTCAGAGATGAGACACAACTTTCTGTTGAGGGGAAAAATGTATATACGCATTTTCTCTTTATCACATATGATAGAAACCTTTAAGGGAAGAACAAACTGTTTTTCCCTTGAGTCAAAGTCAGAGTCATTTGAGAAATCAAATGACTATGTTCCTCTGGTTGCTGTGCAACTTGTGAGCATCTTAAAAGTGCCTCCTCTCTGCCTAATAGCTCATTTATAAAATCTGCTTTCCAAATTGCATCTGATGTTAGTTCTTCAGATGGAGAGAAATTCACACATCATGAAAGCACAGCTTTAAAGATCAGGTTGGCATAAGGCAGCGGAAATGGAAAAAGCCATTACATTTTCCAATCAAGCCCATCTCAACATCACTAAAAATGGCCTGGGGGAAATTTAAGCACACCACACTCAAAAAAGCCCTCCTAATGTCATAAACCACCAAATGTTGCCATTATTAAAGATAAGTCTAAGCACTTACCACTGCAGGATTTCACTAACTCGTCTTAGTAAAACTCATTAATCACAGTGTTAAAATTAGTAAATACTACAGCTTAGCTTCCACATGGCACAAAGACTACAGCTGGCTGAAATGCAATGTTTTCAACCTGCAGAAACACTGCAATTATCTGTCTACTTCCCTGCATACTACTGCAAATGTCAGTCTCATCTTTGTTTCTAGGTGTTGTTACCAGAACCCATTGGCTAAACCACTGATGGCTCAGCTCCTTAAAGACTGTCCAGCACTAGTGAGGCTATAGCAATACACATAACATTCAAAACAGGGAAAAGCTCATCTCTAGCCTTTTTTAGGTGTGAAATGGCCTGAAATTGTAATAGAATTGTGGGACTTTTGTTTTCATTTATAATTTAAAATTTATTTACAAAGTTTAGGAAACAACCTTATTTTTATTTTGCAAATAGGCGAAACTGAGATCTGGAAAAGCAAGCTGACTTCTCCAGTATCACTTATTTGAAGGCCTTTCCTGAATATAAGTTCTGTCTCAATGTAAGTATGGTCCCAAAGGCGTTTTTCATCTTTTTTTTCAAAGCCTTTTCTTTTTGCTGTAGGTAGAAATACTGCATATCACAGTCTTTTATCATTTCACATGAACATACCATATGTGACAGGACTTGATATCAGTTAAAGCTTCTGCACAGTGAAAAGGGAAGATCTTGACCGTTTAAAAAAAACTACACATTGTTCCAGTTTTGTAGGTGGTCCACAATCAGTGGCAGATGTTCTGTACCAGGTGCTCTGTTTGAGAAGACGAGTATGAGTTGTATTTCTGTATTTCTTCAGCAGCTAACAGGCAGGGCTCCTTCTCATTATCTGACGAGAAGAACCTGTCCTTAGCTGAAGATGCAGTCATTCAGTGAGCAATAAGATGCAATTCAGAGTGCCTTCCTTGTAAGGACAACGCTGTTCTGTGGGCAAGACGCTTCGTCTAGCCTCTGAAAATGGAGATAAATTACTCCATCTTTTGAAGAAGTGAGATCAGCAACTTCACTCATGATTGGGAAACTACTGAGGGCAGAAACTACTGCAGTATGAAGTCTTCTGTGTTCTTTCCTTTCCCTTTTTCCTTTCAGTCCTGCCAGGCTGTAACATTTGGCTTGCATCTGGATTGTGCAATTAGAGAATTTCATTCTCAATGTTCATCATACTCATTGTCACCTGATTCTCTACCAAGGGGAATGTTTTTAAGGGAAAACAGCAGCTGCTGGATGGAGTATCTTTTTCTTAATATCTAATCTTAACTGATGTTTTAATGTCACCTATATTTTATTTCTTGGGAATTAAATGCTTTCTGCAAGCTGTGCCATTAATATAAATATCAAACACAGAAATTATATTCTACCCCCCTCCCCTTATCTATGGGGAAATCCCTTATCTCTCACAGTCAGAAGTAATTTAGGATCAGACACAGATGGGCTGAGATGTGAATGCCTCGGGGAGCATCTGAAATAGCTCCCTGATAGACATCACAGGGGCTGAGCACAGTATCTCTCTGTGTTTATTCTGATTATCGTGACGGCTGCCAACAGGCTCTTCTGTTTGGAGTTTGTTGGAGTTCTTTTCTGTACTCT